ATTAGCATAAAATATGGACAATTAGAAATGGCAAAACATAATTTAGACGTTAGGCTTGCCTGTATGCTGAGTAACTTAAGATTTGTAAGTGAATCTAGCCCTTCGAGTTTCGTTATTTTATTTTTCCCGACAAATAATTGGTCCAGATTGGCCAACGACCCAAGGTTTTCCAAGACTCGTATTTTATTTGAACCAAGCTCAAGCATTTCAAGAGAGGTTAGAGCATCCAGATTTTCAATTTTACGTAGTTTATTGTTAACGAAGAACAACTTCTTTAGCTTGATCATTTCGGCAACATTTTCTATAATCCTTATTCGATTAAAGCTTAAATCAAGGCACGTTAATTCCTTCAGGCAGTCTAAATTTTCGACCTAAAAATCACATACATAAAAATAAAATAAATAACAAAGATAAAAATGTGCACTATTAATGATTTACAAGTACTTTAGTTATTTGGTTATCGTATAAATCAAGGTCGACGAGAGTCAGAGATACCGGCTCCATATTTTCGATCTTTTTAATTATGTTATTCCTGAGACATAATATTTTGACCTTAAATATTATGAAAAGATCAACATACATTTGGGAATAGCTCAAGATGCGAGATAGATTTAATCCTGCAGTGGTTCAAATCAATCTCTTGTGCTGCGAAATCCTCGATTTCTAATTCATCCACTTCAAAGCATTTTTGACTCTCCTCGGAAACGGTCATATTCTTGTTACCAAATTCATTACGATCAATTAATGGCTTTTCTGAAGACTCGGACTGGTCTTGTATAGTAACTGGCCCTTTTGCATTCTCGAGGAAATTTGTCATGAATGGGCCTTGCGAACTAATTCAAATGAAGTCGTCAAAAATTATTGCTACAACAATGGTTAGAAACAAAAATGCATATATTGCGTTAATTAATAATATTTTACCTTAATAAATCGTGTTAATGCTTTGGGGTTGATTTAACAAGCAAATATATTCATTATTGATATTGGGTTATACAAATATTAAATCCTATATTATATATTTAAATCCACCATTTTATCTTGTCTAAAACCTAGTTTAGATTAAGCAAGCTGTCAACTTATTATGGTCAAGTAGAGAGGAATATAGGGGATTTTTTCCATGGCAAGGTGAATTTACGCATGAGCATTTTTTAAAGTTGAAGCGATTTCCTTAATTCATACACCACAATATTTTCGCAGTTGTCTTTTTATTGTGGGAATTGTAATTATTCATTCAATAGATTTATGGGAAGAATTTGTGATAGGGGTGTAGAATAAACGTAATATATACGCA